ACCTAACCTCTGTTCCAGCCAGTCCAGCATTTCTGTTTTTATATTTAGATCTTTAATCCATTTTGATTTTAATGTAGGGCATGGTGAGAGATATAGGTCTAGTTTTAGTCTTTGGCAAGTTGAAACCCAATTTCTCCAGCACCACTTATTAAAGAGGTTATCTTTCCTCCAGCGAAGGTGTTTGGCTCCTTTGTCAAAGATGAGGTGGCTGAGTGTTAGACACATTACATTTAATTCCATATTAGAGTCCCAGCATTACATTAAGAATCAGAAAAAGCTTGCAATATAGGAAATGTAGAGGAAAGTATATTGAAATGCAGGTTAGGGAATTAGATTCTATAAGTATGTCTCAGAGAAGTCACAATGAATCTGAGTCTCATTGAGGCAAAAAATAAAGAAAACTTATTTTAATGAACTAAAGTCTAAAAGTTTAGTGACTGTCTTTTGAGATAGGAAAAAAGATTTAAAAGTAGCACTCATTTCAAGTCAAAAAAGGTCATAGAACATTACAAATACTATAAATGAAGATGAGCATGGAGTAAAAAGCTGATGGGAGTATATGAGGCAATTATGGCACATTTCTGGGATTTTATTTGCTTGTTTGTTTTTGTTTGGGTGTTGTTGTTTTTTACCAAATCTTGAGAGCATAACGAATGTGACTTGGTGAACAAAAATAAGATGCTCGTTGACTTTTCCTCCTATTGCTGTCATCTGGGGAAATGCTTTTGTAAATAATATGAGTAGTACGCTGATCTTAAAATGCTTTTAAAGTCAGTAGTTTGTGCCTGTGTTTTAAAGAAGCAAATGGGCATGGACTGGGAAATGGGAGAAGACTGGGAGAGGGCTTCCATGGGTACAGCAGAGGATGTGTCTCCATGACCACATACCAACCAGAAACTGAGAAAGAGAAGATGACCCGATTTCCCAAGCTTCACTAGAATGTCCCGTCTTCTTTAGAAAATGATACGGGCGAGGTGAGGAGAAAACCTTACCGTATTACCTAGATCTGAATGGAAGGTTTTGAAAAATCTACATGATAACCCTTATAGATTCTTGAACAAGAGCAAGAATAGTATGTAGATGTGTTTAAAAGACTTTCAGATTTTGGAGTAGGAGAAGTGGCAGGGGTAGGGACAAGAAAAGAAGGGAAAAGAAAAAATACGAGAAAAGGAAACAAAATGGAAACAAAGTCTTTGTAAATAGAGAAGGGTGGACGGGGTGAAGGGAGGGCAGGGAATCAAGAAAAAATAAGAACCAAGATATGTCATGTAAAGGTTCAAGATCTCAGTGACGAATGTAACTGTACTGTATACCTAAAATGTACCAATAAAGTTAATGGGGAAAAAATTTTAAAAAAATAAAAGACTTTCAGATTTGTAACTGAATTTTTATTTAGAAATGAAATTGCTTGTTCTAATTCAAGCATATGGAAATAAAAAATGAAAATTATATCTAAAGACATTTATATTTAAAGAATAGTGAATCTGTAGTTTTTTTGAGACACTGTTTATCCGTTTCTTGTTAGGAGTCAATTAATTATGTTTCCCTAAAAAGTTTGATATGCTTTTATACATTTAAAATCTTACTTTGCTTTGTAAGATTTATATATTGTCCAATAACAAACATTATGTTTGAAAAAAATTAGCCCTATTGATATAAACTAGGAATGTTGTTGCTGTAATACTACCAATTGAACAAGGAACCATAAATATTGTTTAACATGAAGGTTAAGTAGGAATGAAGTATTAAAATAAGTAATGCTAGCCAAGTCCTTCGTGTCTATGTGTGCCCTGGAATCAGGAGCTTGCTAAGGTTCACTCCCTCCTCATTCATGTAGCTTCGCCTGTCAGAGAAGGCTGGGTGTGTTAGGTAATTATACACTTGAATTTCTTAGAAAATCAGACTTTCATTGGTAGAAATGTACAACTTGTAAGTAAATAAGAATTAACAAAAGTAACCAAAGTAATGTCCTAGTACCGGACATCACAGTTTGACAAATACATGTATAAAGAAATGCCAAAGAAGAAAGTAAACTGCAGATCATACCAAAAAATAAAATCAAATAAAGGGTAATGTCCATTTTGGTAAAATCACAGATTTAAACTCTGAAATATTCAGAAATATAATTAGGCAGCTTTTGAAAAAATCAAACAGGGACCCTTTGTAATGTATTTTAACATGTACTTTCTACCACATGGCTTTCTGTATGAAAGTTTCTCTACTTGAGGGCAAAGTCCAATCTTCTGTTTGTTCTCTCTCTCTCTCTCTCTCTCTCTCTCTCTCTCTCTCTC